ACCACTACTTCTACTACAACAACAACTACTACTACTACTACTGCTACTACTACTACTACTACCACTACTGCTACTGCTACCTTTTCTGCTACTGCTACTACTGCCACCACTACTACTGTTACTGCCACTACCACTACCACTGCCACTACCACTACCTCTACCGGTACAGCTACTAGTACTACGGTCACGACGATTGCTACTACGACGAGTGCCATTATTCCTACTAGTAAGTAGTAAATAATGACTAGAATGGAGATCCTTCTGGTTGCAATTACAGTGAATGTTGCTGGTATTGATGCTGCAGTACCGCTGTCACTGGTGGTGGTGCTGGTGAAGATGGCGATAGTGTGCAACAGCTTCCTGCCAGGTCGTCATTTAATTTCTTATGTTTGAACAATGCTTGGTTGATGGCTGATGGAAGGTTTAGGGTGCGGTGGTTTGGGAGGTTTAGGGCTTCAGGGTTCAGTGTTCAGGGCATGACGCTCTAGTATTTCGGGTTTAGGATTTCGTGCTTGGGGCGTCAGGGTTTAGGATTTAGTGGGTTTGGGATTTAAGGCAATGGCCGATTGTCTGGTTCCGTCCTGTCCTGTCTTCCTCACCTATGCTGTTCTGCCTCCACTGCTACGCTGCTGCCTATTTCTCAACTTACTGGTGAAGCCATCAACGGATAAATAGCTGCTTAACACTTATTATTACTATCTTGTTACAAGACAAATTTTAGCCCCCCTTCACCAGTGTTTCGCAATGTACATTTGAATACACACACCAATATATGTTTTATACCACCCACGACTTTTTCTGAGAATTGCGATACGATTTAAAGCTTGCAGGACAGTGTTTATACAGGTTTTAGTTCATTTCGCACACCGTCCGATTCCTAGACCCATCAAAACATGTTTCTGTCACTTCCCAGGAGTTTGTGCTTTAATAGCAACATTGTATATTCCATAACTTTTTGACACGAGTGTTCATGCTGAACATGTTGGGCCTTGAAGCCGTTTTGCATTTGCGAACGAAAACAGAGAACCTTCTCAGAAGCATGTTTTCCCAATTTTGCTTCTGAGAAGGGGCGCCGTGTCAGCCCAGCCCCCCCAAAGTTGTCTCATATAAACCTATAAATTAGAAACCCTACGCTACACGCCCTAAGCCCCATAAACCCTATAAGACCTAGAAGCCCTATCAACCTATGAATTATCAACCCTACCCTATAAACCCTAAACCCCTAAACCCTAAACTCTAAACCCTAAAGCCTTGTGAGCCCTAGAAGCCCTTTCAGCCCAAGCCCGAGAGGCGCGGCAACTCCTGGAGCCCTTGGAGTCCATCCCGGTTCAGGATCTTGGTGTCAAGGACGCTTTGTGTGTGTGTGTGTATCTACCTGCCTATCTATTTACCTATCTACCTATTTGTATGTATGTATGCATACATATACATATATATATATACACACACAAGTATGTGTGTGTGTGTGTAGATACCTTTGTGTGTGTATATATATATATATATATATGTGTGTGTGTGTGTGTGTATAAACCCGTGTATATACATATATACATATATATGTATACACAAACATATGCGTGTGTGTAAGTACACATGTGCCTATGCACACACACAGACACAAACACGTGGACAAACACACACACACACACACACACACACACACACACACACACACGCACGCACACACACGGACACACATTCCAAAACCCCCTAAACCCTAAACCCCTAAACCTTAAACCCTTGACCCCTAAACCCCTGAGCACTTTGAACCTCAAAGTTGCAGGAGATCGCCTCCACACTTGCTTGCGCAGCCTTTGTCGGACTTGTTGAGGTGGGTTCAGGTATTTTTAGGGTTAGGGTTAAGGGTTCGCAGTTTAGGGTTTAGGGTAGGTCTCTTTAGGGTTGGGAGTTTCGAGGCTTCAAAGACCAAATATATACGGCTTTTGGGCTATTTTGAGCCCTTATGGCCCTTAAGAGTGAGAATTTGGGGGTATACAGTATTAGAGGGTAGTTGGGGCGTGTAGGAAAGAGCTCAAGGTTTCAGATGTTTGGGGTTTGAAGACTGGGGATTTGGACTCTAGGCTTGAGGGTGTTCCTGGAAATTGTGATCCTCTTTTTGGGTGCCTTGGTTGGTCCCTTTACCAATGAACCACAGATCCGAATCTGGAGGGTTGCGGTTTGAGGTTTGGGGTTCGAGCTACGCGACAAGAAGCCTGGCTTGGAAGGCAGGTGTTGGTTTAGAGGTTGCGGAAAAACGCAAAGCCGTTTATAAGTAATATGGGGGCCTTTATAACTAGAACAGGGTGTTGGGCCCGTCATGCTATAATTAGAGTCAGGAACCCTCAAAATAGTATTGGTAATTATTTAGGCCACTATATTTTAGAAGCTGCCCCCACCCTGTAATAGTGGTGTAATAGGAATATAATAGGGCCCTAATATAATCCTATATAGTGCCTATGGTCACTATTACAGGGTGGGGGCCCCTTCTAAACTTTTTTATGCAGGTTTCTGTCCACTGGAATCGGGATGGGGAGGCGTTGGCTGCGTTCAGATTCCAATCACCTCTAACGAGCTGAAAAACCCATGCCGCTTGGAATCTCTTACCCTAAGGGTCCATGTACCCAGCTAGTATATATACTTTGGGCCCAATGTACCCAATTAGGGAGTACTTTACGGCCAATGTAGCAGGATACTACATGAGTACTTGGACCCTTAGGGTTATAGCAGCACCTAAACGTAGCGCCATCTTACTTGGCATCGGATGCGTCGGCTCTTTTACAGGCTCGAGTCCGCAGTTTAAGTTCCCCTGGCATCTGGTGAACCTTTTTCTGCCGGACTTTCCTCGCGATCCACCAGCATGGAGACAGCTTGGCACGGTCGAGTTGCTTTCTCGCGCACTCGCAGGCCGGGCCAGAATATCACATCCTAGAATCCTAGAATTTGCTAGAGTGCAACATGATATGAAATCATGTAGTACAGTACAACACAACAGAATGCAACACAATAGAATGTAAAATGAGTAGACGGTAAATTTCATAGTCTCGTATATGATATAGTTAATCTAGTCTGGTTTTATGTAACATAGTACGATAAGACCTGCCATACTGTACTTTACTGTACTGTACCATACTCTACTACAACCAGTACGATGGGTTTGCAACGAGAAGGGTGTTTTCGTGTGAGAAGGATGATGTCAGTCATTGGTCGTCTTTGTGTCTCGCATTCGTGCTTCGGGCGTTTCTCAGTTTTCACGATTTGTGTGCGACATTGCCTATGCTCGTAAATCCGTTTTCTGGCATGGCCATTTTCGTTCATATTCTTACATCATTTGCATCATGGACTGGCTTCCCTCACCAATCTCTGCATCTATGTTGAAGCAGGCTGGGCATATCAACCTTTGACGGTGTCCTTTGATCAGCTTGTGCACTCCGGTTTCTCGTGGTGGCATTGGCCCCTGGGTCTAGACTTTGCAGTTGTGCAAGCATTGTGGAACGACTGCCAAGGTGACAAGGCAAGCCGCAAAATCACACCCCCGCACGAGGGTTGGACCTAGCATGACCTGAGGTGGCGACGCAAAAATCTGCTTAGTCTGTGCCTGGAGGTTCAGCTACAGCTAGAGATGGGGATCTCAGTGCGGCAAGTGATGTACACCCATGTCTTGATACATCACGGATTTCACAGTCAGCTTAATCGCTCTGTTAGAGATCTGCTTCACATGTAATAGTGTAATCGACAGCACAACCGAAGAAGCCCAGAGGCCAAAACGCTAAAACTCAAATCCAAAACCCTAAACGCAAAACCGTAAACACAAACACCAAATCCTCAAACCCTAAGCCTTGTTTCCCTAAAACCCCAAACCCTGAAGCCAAAACCAAACCCCAAAACCTCAAACCCTATACCCCAAACCCAAAACCCTAAACCCTAACAACACCATAAACGAGAGGCCCGACAAGGCAGCGAAAGTCGACAAGATCCTCAACTGGGCGATCGAGTCCAGCACGGGGGTAGACAATCGCTCCTACAGGTGGGGTTAGGGCTTAGGGGTGGGATTCCGAGCCGAGAGTTCCGTAGAAGCATAGCTAGCAAAAAATCAAAGAGCACCAGAACGGTAGTGGTGATTCTGCAGAAGCTCTCAGCATAGTTATCCGACGAAGAGAACTTTAGTGGCAATAATACGGTTTATGATATACATCCTGCATTACCCACAACAAGGAATATACCATAATTCCCATAGTTTAGGGCCCTTAAGGTAATGCAGGATTTAGATCATCAGCCGTACGTTGCCCATTCTGCGCGCGTTGCACGTTTTGGTGTCGAGTTACTCACACCAGAAATGATACGACAGAGCATTGCAGTCTCCCTGGTATATCATCAACCGTAGTCCTGCAATTCGGTCAGCAAGCCAGGGACCTCGGGGATCGGCATAAGATACTGTGAGCACTTACTTGGAGGGGCAGGGGACTGAGTAAGGGCTCATAAGGGGCTCCTTAAAGGGATCTATAGGGTTCTTTACAGGGATTTAGGGGGTTTAGGGTTTAGGGTCTACTTGGAGGGGCAGGGGACTTAGTAAGTGGGATATAAGTAGTGTTATAGTCGGGGTAACCCCATTTAGGGTACTTATAACTCTACTTATAACCTACTAAGTCCCCTGCCCCTCCAAACAGGGCTGGGGGATTCGGATAGACCCAAAGCGTTGCACTCGAGGAACTGTGGTCGGAACATCCGAACCCTTGAACTCTAAACCCTACTTAAATCAAGGCTTTCCCTTGCCATGCTCCCTCAAGGTGCGTGCTTCAAGGATTTCAACGTGCCGCCTCGATGGTTCAGATTCTGCATGTGGCATCATAAGAGAGTTGCAATAATCAGTGTTCATAGGGCATAGCAGCTCTGGACATCGGCAACAAATGAGCATTGCATAGATGGCAGCAGCGGCAAAAGCATTGCAAAGGTGAGTGGAAATCATTCATAGGGCGGTTGTCACGACAAACATAACGACAAGCATGGATACCAGTGCAATGGCAATCCCTTTTTTGGAAAGGGCACGGCGGGAATGCCCTTATGTTTTCGAGCCTGGGTACCAGATGGACGATGCTTCTGGGTTGATGCGAAGGGAAAGGTTCATCCACTTTCTGCAGTACGGGCACTCGTTACTGTCCGCTGCTGTGCACAATGTGCCTCAGTTTGCACTGGTGTCTGAGGGTAGAAGTTGGACAGTGAATCGTAACTAGGAAGCCACCTGACCTCAGGAGGGCATCTCCACGGCCGACATCATCGGCATCGAGGACTCGGAGTCCATGGAAACCGAGCAAGGGCAGAACCTCTGCCTTTTGATTGCATGTTGTTGGTTCGCAGTTTCCAATATTATGTCCGGGGGCTACCCGCTGGCTAGGCAGCACTTCTCACTCTGAGGTCTGCAGATGTGCTCCAGAATATATCCTGGGGGTTTGCTGTATATTATGTGCCCCGGATGCATTTCATTCGGCTATACAATTAGCTCCCTCTCGCTTCCTGAATCCAGAATGAGCTTGAGGCTTTTCCGGCATAACTTTTGCTGCAACGATACGAAGGACAAGGTGGCCGTGACTTGGCTGTTTTTGCAGCCAATGCCTTTGGTTTGTTGGGGATTGAGACAATTGAGGTCTTTGTGGGCAACTTGCTGCGGTTCGCGGAAATGATTGCTGTGCGGTGTGTCATTCATTTGCCGGTCGACGGCGCCAACTTCTTTGAGCGGCACCCGGCTTTGCAGGACTTTTTAGATTGGGTTTTGATAGCTTCACCGTCGGTGATTTCAGAATGGAGTGGCTTTCATTCGTTCTTGAAACAGGAGGCCGCTCAGCGCCTGGGCTTTGTGAAATGCCTCTTCCCGATGTCCTTGCCAGACTCAGCAACTGGGACTCCGGGACAAGTGGTTGGTGAAGAGGTTTGTCAGTGAGGTTTGTCAGTGTCTGAAATTTCAGTTATGTTCATACATGAAAACCTAGGTCCCCGACGACTTTGTGGGGCACCGATAAGTTCGTCATCAAAGGTGTGAAGCACGTTTCTGCCAGGGTCATGACCATGCTGCTTGATTGGAATCTGTGTATGTGTCCTTGCACTGACGGTGTCCGGTTCTCATGCTTGCTGATGTGCCAGCTGGTCTCAGGTTCCCCGCTTTGTGCAATCGGCGAATGAAGGGTATCCCATCGACTATGGCCCACTTCGGCTATCACACGGGCACGTTCACCTATTGTGCCACTTGCCTGCAATCTACAGTTGTCTGTGGCTTGGCTGGTCAGTGTGTGGTTTGGCGATTGAGGTATGCGACTTGGTGATGGTACGGCACCGCCGGAGTGTCCGGGACTTGATGGGCATGAATATCTCCGGGTGGCTGGAGGACTTGGCAAAAGATTTGCTGCTCCAGGCCAGTGTAGCCAAACACATTGTGGCATACAAAATAGGGGGATGATAGTCTAAATGGAGATGCGATGATTTGTGCCGGGTCCAGGACCTTGACCACGGCTACATGCTGCTGCCCATGCACGGCAACCCTTATGGTAATCATGCTCGCCGGAACATTACTTTTGAGGCGACTTCTCTCTCTTCATGTTTTGTTCTCGTGCCTGCTAGATCCTAGATTCGTTGTCGATCCATGAGAAATCAGGAAGCCGACCTGTTTGTGACGCTGCCAGCGAATGCCGCTCCGCCGGCAGTGCCACGGCTTGTCATGTGCTCGCTACATTTCGTTGGGATATGTGCTGCTCTTTTTGCTTTTTTGTTCTGGGCGGCTGGGGTTTTCGGGTCTGCTGAGTCCACCCTCACTGTGGCGGATGCTGTGGGCGAGGACTGCCCTCTCTAAACCTTTCGGCCAGAGTTTGTGGGATTTGTGGGATTCAATTCAAATCACCATTGTGCAGGTATGGGAGATTCTCGGGTGATGCTGGCGCCGATTCTTGCAGCACTTCGTTGGTGTTCGGGTTGCATGGTACGATTTCATAAGATTCCCGCACGGCAACATGGCAACCAAGGACTGCGATTTTGCATATGATGTGCATTGGCCGGCAACGCATATCGGGTTTTGATGAGCCATGGTTGCACTCGTGTCAGGTCTAAGCATAGAGATTTCTTGATTAATCAGGGTGTAATCGGCTATCATTGTAGCTGACACACGAGAGTACTCAAACTTCGGTGTGGGCTGCTTTTTGGTTCATAAGTTCTAGAGATTCTAGAGTGACTACAATTAGATTAGTTTACAGAAAAGGAGTATTCACAAAACAATACTACGCAGCACGTGGTACACACACATACTCGATCAAACCGGCAAGCCATATTCCTAGCATAAGCTTCAATTTCAATAAACTAATCAAGTAGTATACTGGACAATTAATGATTAATTAGTGGACAACAAGCACTAAGCTGCAAACCCGAAGCCCGAACCCGCCACTGCTTTCATTGTTCCCTGAAACTTAGCCCGAGGAGCTAATTATTTATATGGTGGCAAATATCCTGGCAGCCACCTGTGCCTGTGGCTCTTCGAACGATTTTGGGCTGCACCTTGCTCGCTTAATGGATGGCTTCGGTTAGACAATAATATGGGTCTGGTGATCACGCCAGGACGGACGTATGTCGTTCGCTTTTCTGTGCCGCAACGACCTGGGTCGGATTTTGACTTCTGCTGATCTGAGACTGCCACCAGCAGCCTGGGAAAGCATCCTAACTTGTAACCTCTGGAACTTAGAGCTGCAAGCTTTCTTTCAACGATTCGGGCTGCTGGGGGGTGCAATTTAGGGCCGTAGTTTCTTGGGGTGTTCTAATCTAATATGTGTTCGGCTTGCTAGTTATGACACTGATGCTTCTTGCTATCGTTGTTTCCATTGTTTGCGAGAAAGATCATATAGCACATTAGCACAGATAGTCTCCGGCTACTGACTAATTAGGCTTTGTGCTCCGAACATGACTGGGGCCTTTAGGGTGACTCCATCCGGTCTCGGCTGCTCGGTTGCAGAAACAGGCTGCAGCCACCACGTGGGCCGTCTCGCTTGCTCAGCTTTGCATCCTCAGCCGATTGCCGGCAATCCCATCATGTGTCAGCCGCTTGCTTCCTTTAGGACTTTTGGCTTCCGCAGATCTGTAGGACTGTAGGACCTCTACGACCTATGTCGTTAACTCCCGGGACCCAGGTTCCTATGAATGAACAACCTGAAGTTGCATCCCTGAATGGCTTCCAAGCTGTTGAACAAATTGGGTTGCTTTGGCTAGCTACCCTGCTGTGTCGCACCTTCGTTCGAGCCCCGGCCATAGTTTCTGAAGACATGAAGAAGACTGGGAGTCGAAATGGGCTTTCAAGGACTTTCGGCTGCAATTCATGTTATTCTGGGGATTGGGTGCAATGCTTCGTCGGGCTCTGGTCCAAATGTTCCGGTTCTCATTATTACTCAGCGGTACTACCTCCCGTCCTTCCGGATTCGTAAATGAATAATCACGGACGAAGTATTCCTCTATCTGAATAGGTGATTAATATTGCTATGGAATAATAATATAATTTTGAACTGATCGTAATTCACGGGATCAATATCCCTAGGCCTAAATCTTAAAACACTGAAACCCACTCAGACTAATTAATCCTCAAACCACTAGAACTCTAAACCCCAAAACTATCATGAAATTGAACTCTGCGAAACAGGACACTCTCCACGAAGTCCCTGGCGGCTTCAGAGCTGGAGGACGGCAGCGAGGCAAAGACCTTCTTGATGAGTGCAGCCAAGAGAAGCTTGGAAGAGGCTTTCGAAGGCCAGAACCCAAAACGTGGGTAGTGCTTCATCCTCTAATTCTGCTGTTGACTACTGACGCATGGACAATCGCACGCAACTTGGTTGTGTCGCACCAGGTGCTGATCCTGCTGACAAGGAGAAGACGAAGTCAGCCAAGAAGGATGATAAGAAGGGAAAGAAGGAGAAAAAGGAGAAGAAAGAAAGCAGGGCTGAGAGAGAGAAGAAAAAGAAGAAAAGAGGCCCGGTTCTCGATACTTCGTTTCTTTGTTAGCAAGGCTCGGTTGCTAGTTCATCGGACACTTAGGCTCTTCCTCGGATGAGAAGGAGAGCGACTCTGACTCCTGTGAGTCGCAGTCTTCGCACGGCTTTTTTTCGGAGATCCAGGCCATGTTTTGTCTTCGCCAGAAGGACTTGATGAGGCAGAACGGGCAAGACAGGTTGGATGATCTGTCGACGAGGCAGATCGCCTTTGTGGTCTCCGGCGCCGGGGCTGGCTCCTACTTGGGGGCGGCCGATCTCCAGGAGATTGGCGGTGAACTCGAGCCTAGATTGCAAAAGTCCCTTTGTGGCCAGCCCCTGTCTGCAACTCGTGATCCGTGTGTGGGGTGTGCTTGCCGGACGTTATCCATCTGGGGTCTTCTGCTACTGTGTTTTTGCTTCGTCTCTCCTTGTGTGACTACTTTGCCCTTTCTCGCCCCTCAAGCAGATTATTTCCGGTGTTACACCAATAGCTACAGCTCGCTGCCACTTCCATCAGTCAGTCGTCTTTCACAGAGAGATCCAAGGAAGCAGTCCACAGCGACAGGGCACAGCACGCCAAGAAGACCAAGCAGAAGCTGGAGGAGAACCAAGCAACGGCACAGGCACGGAGGAGTGAAGAGAGCTGAGACTGAATGTCGTGCAAACAACAGCAAACACACTCACGCCAAGCTGCAACAACGAACCGCTTGCCCTTGATACATCTCGCAGGCTGCCTTGGCTAGCACGTTGTGGCGGAAGCGACTCGCGAGCTTATTGCAGCTATGTGCTTGCCTCGGCTCCCAATAAACATAACATATAGACTAGTTGGGATTTTCTGAGTTTCAGGGTTAGGGCTGTCGGTTTCAAGGGTTGGGGATCCCTGGTTCGCTGACATTAGTTTTGCAAAGCAAGGGCTGGCAGCAGGTTTGGAGGCTGCAAAATATGTACTTGTTATTCTTACAGAGTTAAGGCTAATTAGTTTATAGATCTAGAATCTCATTAGATTAGAATTAAACAACGGAGGCCCAAACCCCGACCCTAGAGAACAAACCCCAGTACATGAGCCCAAGCCTAGGCAAGGTTCCCAGGACATGTAAAAGACACTCGGGGTGCCTGATTCTTGGGAATAAAGCAATCTGTCAGCAGCCGGTCTCGTGTGCATGGACAAGGTCAAACGTCAGATGTTCATAATAATCATATAGTAACCCATAAACCTCTCGTAGTTCGCACACCTGGTCTTGATGATAGTCTGACAGCTCAGCTCACAAAGCCAAATACTGCCTCTCTGACCATTGCCACATTTTTGCCCAAACCCTCGCATTGAAGTCAATCCTCAAGACTCAAGCTACTTCTTACGAATAAAATGAAGTCCTGGTCCCCCACAGCCCCGAAACTCTAAAACCGAATCTTGGAATTCTAGACTAGGCTTTCCCGACTGCAAAACCCCCGGACTTTCGACCCAGCATCGAGATCTGATGATGCTCCAGACCACCATACCTTCGATTGTTTGGGGCTTCAATTACGGGGTTTTGACCTGGTTCAGGTTTTACTGGTGTTGTTTCTAAGGAGGCAGCTTTGATAGAGGAGTTCCAGGATGTTTGGCCGGGGATAGGATTTATGTGGTGTCAGGGTTGGGTGTTAGGTAGTCCGTAGTTATTTAGTTAATTTAGAGTACGTAAATTGAATTTTAGTAAGAGTGTGGAAGTCTTAGAATCAATGTACTGCAAAAGCCAGGCAAACATTAACTAATCCGAAGGCTAGCTATCACTCACCGGGCCATTTCTCTGGTTCAGGGCTAGGAGTCCTGAGGTTCGACTTTGGGAGAATTTACGAGTTACCGACTTGGGCGGGCTGGGATCAGGTTGGTAGGGTTCCCAGGGTAGGTCCTCAGAAACAAAGAATACAGTAGTATTGGGTCAAACCATACCTAGCTCCAATACTTCTCTTGTTGTTTACAGTAGCGAAATCCGGAGGCACGGGCCGCACTCTCGGCTCTGTCACCATCGTGCAGTGTGCGACCCTGGTGGATACGGCAAAGATGCTCCGGGCCATGATTCGCCGGCAGTGCAGGCAGTTTGCGGGTGGGTAGTAATAGTCCTTTTGCTGCAAGCAACGGACCCTGAACTTTCCAACTAATCTGCCCGATCGCTGCGAGAACTCGTAATGGCCTGCTACCAGAGTTGCCCCGAAACTTCTTAACCACAACCCGGTTTGAAGCTACATGCCCTGTACGCCCCAGCCCCCAAAACAATCCTAATGCTCTGTGCAGGAAGAAGGACTGGAAGAAGCATCACCTGGAAGCCACCCTGGAAGCCGAAGTCGAGAAGTATCGCAAGGCTGCTCCCTGCTAGTCTATGGTATATATATATATATCACCCCACAAGACTGCTGGCCAGGAAGCAACCAAAGATCTCCAGTCGAGCCTGAAGAGCTCCAAGAAGCAGGGCAAAGCCAAGGACTTCTTCGTGCGCTAAGTAGACAGCAAAAGCTTTTGTCGTTTGCTGCTGATCTAGACTACAACACAATCCTAGTTTTCCGATCTTGCAGGAGGAGCCCGCGAAAGCCCCGAAGACAAAGGCTAAGACTCCCACAGGGAATCGCAAGGAGGAGCAGGAGGAAGAATCTGATGATCCCCCGGGAGAAGATGATGAACCAAATGGTGATGATGATGAGGAAGATGACGAAGGCTTCAAGGAGGAGGGCTGGCCAGCTTCGGGCGACGACGGCGACGACGACGACGATGATGATGATGATGGTGGTCGGGGCAAAGGGAAACCGGCTAAGGGGAAGGAGCCGGGAGAGGAGGAGGGAGAGTCTTCGGATGGAGACTTGTTTGAAGGCAAGTATGGCCGCTCGAAGGTCGACACACCGCAGGCCAAGACGCAGACGGCCGAGACACTGTTGCAGAAGCTGAGCCCACAGATTCAGAAGCAAGCCCAGAGCATCGAGCAGTCTGTGCTGAAGTCATTGCCCCAAGACATCCCCATGTAGCCCAACTGATATAGTGCAATCTGATTTGTGTTTGTTGGGTGTACTTACGATACTGCCTTACGGCCTGGATCAATTGTCCAACTTAGGCAAGACTTTTCCCTGTTGGTGCAGATCTTGCTGAAGGAAGAGGTATATACTATGGAATCCCTCCTGGACTGCCTTGACCTGGATGGAGGCTAGTAAGTAACTAGTACCCAAAAGGCCCCAGCCCTAGAGATTGTGTCGTTGTTCCGGCAGGCGGCTTTATCGGGAACCTTGGGGAGTCCAAGAGCCTTTATTCTCGCCTCAGTGCTTTGGCCAAGAAGGCTGCGAAGATTTGGCAAAACAAGCTTATTGAATCTCAGGCCTGGCCAAGGGCTGGGTTGGGTTTATTCAGGAGGGCTTGCTTGGTTCGGTTTCAGCTACCTACCACATAATAAACAATTCCGGCTCTCTCCTGAATGCTTTGCCAGGCGACCCCGGCTCGCCCGTCGAAGCCCGCGGAACTCAGCACCTGAGCTGTGTTCCCTCTCTGTGGAGAGGGGCATTGAGGGGGGCAGTTTTGTGAGAGGCCAGGCTTCCTGTGCCTCGTTTGGAGTTTGGTGCTCTTGATAGAGTCGAAGCTTCGGGGTCCATGAGGTCTGCAAAACGAGTGCTGTCGAAGAGCCCTGCACTTCTTGCTGCAATCGTGAGACTGTTGAAATCGTTGCCTGCAGCCTTGTTCTGAACAACCTCGTTGTCCGAACCGCTGAATTTTCGAAGCTGCTTATGGGGTCTCGTGAAGACAAGTCAGATATGCAATATAAGGTTCGGGTAGTGTTTCTTCGATGGGTTCTAACATTGAGAAAAAGGTGTTTGGATGGGTATAAGTAAGTTAGATACGACTATTATTAGTTGGGTTACAACAGAAGACAAAGACGCCAGAGCTTCTGCAGTAGCTCATTGACAGATAGGCCCGATCTTGTTGATCAGTAGCCAAAACCCTACTAAACCCTAAAAAACCCCTAACCCTTAAGCCCTAAACCCTTCACTACTTTAATGCTAAACTAGGCCAGAAATCATTCCTGTTTCGATAAACATCTACAAATTCATGCACCCGAACACTAGAGCCACGGACCCCTGATTCTTTGGAGTAATTGGGTGGCAGCGAGCTACCAATTACTCCGAATCCGAGACTTGGTGGCACTGGCTCACTAAATGCTGTTGTGGGTAAGGTCTGTTATATGTTCCGGGAGATCTAGTTTGGTTTATGTTTCCTTTGTTTTCTTGGGGCCGGGGCTTTTCGTCTTCCAGGAGTACTAGACCGGGTGCCTGGGTGTTCGCTTTTGGCTGGGCTGCTGGGGCTCGGGGCCAGTTCCTTCATTTTTAGTAGCGAAGAGGGTTCTTCGTGGTTTTTGGGGGCCTTGAGCGTGCTGCCTGGCATGCTTAGCGTGCCACCTCGTCCCGACAAACCCTGTTACGCACCGCCTCGTTCTCTAACGTGCCCGCTCAAACCCAACGTGCTGCATGAGGAGTTTTCCGCCCGCAACGTCGTACTACGTAGCGAATGCAAAACATCGAGGCGGCATGCAAATATCCTTAAAGCCCGCAAAAGTGCCTAGACAAGAAAACGCCGAGGCATCCCTCAAAAAAGAGCGTGCTCCCTCAATTCCCCAGAATGCGTGCCAGCTCGAATTGTCGGCCCCTGCACCACCGAACCCGACGCCAATCCAACGTGACCCCTCATTGAGACAGCACTCTCGGTTCGCCGTGCCACGGCCCGCACCGTGCCCAGGAATGCCAGAGGCGAGATGGTTCACAGCCAGGCTGCAGGAGATCGCCCAGTGCCTTGGATGAGAGCAATTGGTACCTAGAGCGTGCCACCTGAACCCTCAACGTGCCGCCTCAAAATCCAGCGTGCTGCCTCAACTGCATTTCAGTTAGGGAATTTAAGACAGCAGGCATCCTGTTATCCGAGGAGCAAAACCCAACCGGCTGCTGAAGAAGCCAGAGTGAATATGTATCGTAAAATGCAATTCATCGATCAATGCCTTCGGGATGGACGGCCTTTGGGGGAAATGGCCGTGACACCCGCATCCTGGGAGGTTCTGTGTTTGCACACAATGTTGTACTGCTGGCTGCTTCGCTTTCTGTGAATCAGTGAAAATACAGCCTGGTCGCCCAGGATCTGATTGATTCCTTCCGGGCTAGATGCTTGGAGATGAAAGTGCCTTTGCGACCGAGATTATTTCCTGCTGAAGCCCCGCAAGCTCCTGCTTCAGAAGCAGCCGAGCCTGCCAGCTCTGTTAGTGATGGTAGCCCTGGAAGCAGCTACTGCGAGTTGCAAACACTATATCTTGATTGCCGGGCCGCCGTCAAGGGTGTGCTGCAGCTCCACAAGGCTTTCCTAGGATAGTACTAAGTTTAAACAAAAAAACGGACGATCTGATTCTGCCAAGCTCCCCTGCAGATTGTGGAGACGGACCTCCAGGGCTACACTTTCCTCTGGAGGGTAGAGGAGGCATGGCAAATTATGAAAAGACAGACGGCTTTCCATAATTGGTTCACGAAGATGTACCTTGGATTATTATGGTGCCAGGGTTTGAGTACTTCGTCCATGCGACATATGTAACCAATTTGCCTAAGGCAAGAACTCCAGGGCGCCCAATTGGCCACCGAATGGCGGGTGTCGCTCCCCGTGCATTTCATTAGAAAACAAGATTATCGTGGCAAAAAAAAACTGTACTGGAAGACCGGATACGAATCAGCTTCGATGCCCTCACCACACCCGGTCTGTTGTTTTCTGTGCTTCGGCAGCAGTATCAACGGGAGCAACAGTACATGCACCCCACTCGTGATAGTTCCTGTTCCCCGTTCTTGTCCGCTTGCAATGCCAAGGTGGCCTGTGGGCTGCAAGTCAGAGGCTGCAAGCCTCGTTTGCAGAAGTCTGCGATGGCAGCACTGGAAGTGATTACAGGGGTGGCCTTGCCGGCCGATTATGTGCTGGATCTTCTTCCCGGCAATGATGAATGAGCCTAGGACTAGATTATTTTAAAGGTTCGCCAGTTCCATGATTCAAGATTTATGATTTTGTGCACTGCCATGATACCTTAGGTATTGTGAAGGTCAGAAACCACCAGGTGGACCTTGCAAGCCTCAAGACTTTCCTCGACTACACCGGCCTTGATTCGAGGCTATTTCCTCCAGCCTAGAGCTACTTATTGATAAGTATAAATTGAAGTAATATTGTTATCCTGCTTCTCCTGTTCAGGGATTTTATTTATTGTTAATTATATTATTAGTAGATCCTCAATAATCCCTCAATTTCAACCTTAAGCCCTAAACCTCGAGGTGGGAACGCAACCAGCTCCTGACACCTGCAGAGCGAAAGCTCCACGCAGGCCTATGTGCAATGGGAAGTTCATACTTGACTGTTGAACACGACAGTTGCAAAGACTTTGCAGGAGTCCGCATGTCTAAAGTGGCATGGTTCATCTTCCGAGCACCAGCTCACGACACCTTCCAGGACAGCCCCGCTGAATAGGGCAGTCTCTGCTGCCTTGAAACAGAAGCCACTGATTCTGATAGGACGAGATTCGATATGGCCGGCTGCACAAGCGACTCATTCATCGGCTGGCACAGCTGGCCGAGGGACACCTGAGCGCCGTGCTTTTGGCCACTTTGCCAACCCCGCAATGTGGAGATGTTTTGCACCCTGCCAGAAGGCCAGTCGCCAACCAGCTCTGTTGTACACCTAGCAGTTTATCCTGAGTACATGTCACACTGTGGTTTCGTTTTTATACCGAACTGCTCCAGGGATGGGCGGCGAGCCCGTGGTGAGCCGAAGCTCCAGAATGTGCTGGCAATCGAGCGATTCATGACGAGAGGCGGGGGTTTTGTCAGCTCCACACAAGATAGCAGCCTGGAGTCTTTGGAGTTGGGTGGAATCCTCCCCGCGAACTACCACAGGACCTTCGTCCCAATTTTGTGTGATCTGTGATGAGTTATTGGGGCCTGTAGCTGTTGGGTTCTGAACCACACAAAATGCACGTGCAAGGACAGCTTCGGATTTTGTCTACAGACATATTCGAAAAACTGGCGAGATGCTGTCCAAGGCTCCTTCCTGCATTCACGCAGTTGCTTCAGTAAATGCACAGCCAGACGGAGTTGTCCTCAGGAGATGGCAAAGCAGTCGCTCAAGAGCTTGGCTTTTCTGTGCGACGCATCCCCGAAAGGATGTGTTGATGCATTTCGGCTGCCCTAAGACCATGCAGTAATCTGTTTGTAAATGTGAACACATGCACCACTGCACGAGGTTTGGCTCCCTGTCGTCTCTGCGAATCAGTTTGCATCTGTGGCAACTTTGCAGAAGCTGTCGGCTTTGCTGCCAAGCACAGTTGCTGCTTCGGAGAAGATGAGAATCGCTCAAGAAGTGGCCGACTCGACTACACAGCTGCTGGTGGCGGATCGCCGCACCAAGGACCATAAACCCAAAATGAGACTAGGCTAATATGAAGATTTTTGTTGATTCCTATGCAGCTGACACGCACTGGCACAGCCCATTCATTGTACACGACGGATTAGCAGCTTGTGACAACCTTCTCAAAAGGCCCAGAATCATCAGCAGCATTCACCAAGAGAAGCTCACCGCCAGAGAGCACATCCGAGCCGTGGCCAATGTCCTGAATCACGTGGGGATATCGCTGGATGATGTATTTCCCAAGAACCCGCTGAAGCCTCTGAACCCATCTTCTGAGATTTCTACGACTTACACCCTGAGCGAGAAGACGATGCCTTTCATTACGTCTTTTGAAGACGGGGGTTCGAGATGGGATGTCCCAGATGCTGACTCCCCTCACATTCGATTGATCGTGTGCCCCGACGAGGGAAGCCCAATGTTCAGCAGCTATGTCTTCCTGGCCACCCGGAATGCTTCCATCAATTTGTGTCGCGATGAGCTGCCACTTGCTTGATTGAAGGGAATGCACTGCCGAGCGCCAGAGTACTTCCATTATCCTGCAACAGCCGAGGCACAAATTGAGCCAGTACTGCCTGCGAGTTCTGGCATCCTCGCCCATGATGAAGCGATCCTCGGATGAGAATAGAGTTCGGGCTGCTTCTCAGGATATGTGTGGTAGCTGCTAGGGACACCGTGTGCCTCAGGAATGAGTGTGCTCACTTCGTGGCTTTACAAATGCCGCAAGAGCCCCTGGAAAACCCACGGGATCGGCAGCACTCTCTGTGCTGCTGGCAAGCGATATCTTGACGTGGCCACTTGGAAGCTCTGATCCGCTACTTGTTCCATACTGCTGATGGCTGCGAATCCCAAACTGCTTCGTGCTGCCCAGGCGGCACCTGATGATGTTCTGCAGCAGCTCTTCGGCCACCACATCCTTGTTGAGACGCTTGGCTAGAAGTTCATTCCCCCACTTGCTTCACTGCCCTGTAGCCAGATCAGGAACGACATCATCCCCGAGTGCGACGAGAAGGTGAATTTCGATCGGGTTTCGGAGATTCTGGGGAAGCTTTGCAGGACAGCTTTGTTGGGTGAATCTTTCTCACCATACATGATCAAGTGAGCTCGCTCTAGGACTAGTGAACCGAATAACTAAGTAAATCAGTACAAACCCAACGAACCCATAATAATCAAATCTAAATTATAGACAATACATATGTGTATGCGACGTTATGTACATGATCCAGTGACTACTACCTCTGCAGGATCCATCAAGAGAGCTACGAGCACAAACGGTGGTGCAGCTGGGCTTTTGCCTCCCGGAGATGCCAATTTTCGGGAACATTGTTGCTGATGTTCTGGGCTGGAATGGAGGCACAATGCTTGTGTAAAGACGTCTAAGAAGGGACCACGAAGCCGTAAACATCTGATCTTGCTGCCAGACGGGCAACAACCCCTTTGCAGTGCTGGACACAGCGGGCCAAGCTGACCCGGAGAAATCGTGGGACAAAGTACTCGATTTGTGCATCAAGGCCCGAAACAATCCTTCAGCCAACCCCGAAATCAAGCTCTCAGTCTGACTCCCGCAACAGGCTTTATGTGATGAGCAGATCCACATCCTCTGGAAGTTCACCCGCGATCTGATGCAACCCTTCCGCGACTTGTGCATCGAGCTTGTGCCTCGTTTCGATTCAGTGTGCTGCCACCATGCGAATGCCAACCAGTCTAGAAATAGAAATCGTTGTCCATTATTGATCTGAACTAAGCAACAAAAGAGCAAGAAGCTCCTGGCTCTCTATGATCACGTGCTGAAGATGAACTCGAACTTCATGGAACGAACACTTAGTAGCCTGGCTGCCAAAGTGCTCTGCTCGCCCGGTCTTCACCAGCCGCCAGACATTGCAGCAGTGCTTCAGCACGAGGCAGGGCTAGGAAAGGACATTGTCTGTGGGATTAAGACTTATTACAACCTAAGTAAGTAAGTTAATTATTAATTAATTAATTACAAACAACCCAATACTAAAGCGCCTGGGGCACAACCCTAAACCCTAAACCCAGTATTCTAAGATTGTATAACCCGTTTCCAATTCCGAAGTAGCATCGAAGATTGCAGGGTACCATCGATGTAAGATTTCGGATGATAGACATATTCAGGTTTTACAACACGACCATCATGACACGAGGCCACTCGCAGCTGCAAAACCTTTCAGATAATGTGCTGGCTTGGGGATATTGGAGGCTTCCTCGCTAAGACACAAGTGTTTCTATCCCGGCCCCCCCCGCCGCCCAGACCGCAAGGCCACGCACAGACATAGAAACAGGGTAACGGAGAGAGATGCAGAGAGAGAGAGAGAGAGAGAGAGAGAGAGAGAGAGAGAGAGAGAGAGAGAGAGAGAGAGAGAGAGAGAGAGAGAGAGAGAGACCCAGAGAAATAAAGGGAGAGAGTGTGAGAGAGCGAGCCAGAAAGAACGAGGGAGAACGAGAGAGAAAGATAGGCGGGGATGGACAGAGAGGGAAGCCAAAACATCATAAGTATGGAAAACTACGGGAGCAACAAAACAGTCAAAAGAGATGGAGATGGAGGGAGAGGGAGAGAGACAGAGAGAGAGAGAGAGAGAGGGAGCGGGGAGAGGGAGACAGAGAGAGAGAGGGATGGAGGGAGCGAGAGAGAGAACGAGGGCGATCTTAACGGTCGACTCTTTTTCGTCCTAGTTGCTCGTGTGTGGAATTTTGAATAAAGAAGCCAGCCCATTTGACCACAAGATAGAACCCTGCAGAACGAAGAGCGAAACACCGCATCACATGTGTGCTCAATAACGACTTGAGAAGTTTTGTCAGTGTGTGTGTGTGTGCACTATCCTATCTATCGGCCACGCTTTTCGCCACGACACCGGTGGAAAAAACAATAGGCTGCCGGGTTTCGATGCGAGCAAAGAAAGCAGGAGCAGCAGCAAAAACAGCAATTAACAACGGCCCGGCTTCGTTGCTTGATTGTGGCACAGGTCCTGCAATTCGACTTTCGCCGTTCGTCTTTGGACTACGAGGTTCTGAAGGAGCAGTTGACTGGCTTCCTGAGCTGTTGTCACGAACTCCAGGAGTACGTGCTTTACCTTCGGAGTTTTCCATGTCGGGCTGCCGCTTATTGCTCAACCGAAGCAACATCGGAAACTCGGGATGAAATTCTGAAGGCTGCTGAGGAAGAGTACGACATGATCCGGGAAATCGAGGCCACACCTTCCGGCTCCAGTGTGCTCAAGCAGCATGCTCTGCACACCACGTTTCAGGTGTACCGGGAGATCATGGCAACCATGCAGCTGCACCAGTTCAAGGATTGCAAGGCAATAGAGGACATTGTGCAAGCATGGTACCCTCGTTGGGGCCAGTCATCCAGTTTGGAGCAGGTGTTTCGAGAGCTGGAGCAGGCTACGAAAAGGGTGGGTCATGTGGGAAACTCGATGTCGAACCTCTCCTGTGTGGCTGTGCGGGCTTTGGAAAGAAGGGTTTGCTCCGGCGAACAGTGTCCTGAGACGCCGTCCTTGTGCGAAAAGGACTGGGAGGGCCAGGTGGTACGCAGCCTCAAGGACAAGATGTGGCATCGCACTTCTGCTCCTGTCTGCATCTTGAGTTCGGTTTAGCACGTTTTCATCTGGAGAGGCTTCCTGCTAAGCAGGGGGAGCTTTAGAAATGCAACAGCCAAGGTAAGAACGTGAAAATCGACGAGATCGTAAAGCCTTTTACCACCATGACGGCCTACTCTCAGACGCACCACAACTTCAACTGTGTTTTGGGGTGGAAGGAAGCGAAAAGGCCAGGCTGAAAGTATTACGTATCCCGTATCCTTTTGCTTTTGCACAGCATGAACCGAAACAAGTCTGTTTTCTCAAATCGTCTTTTTGACAGGATTGGCACGAGCCCCATCGATTCGATCGGCGCCATGTGGGTTGCTGGATGCTTCGTGGCGGGAACACTCTTTCGGCAGCACGACACTTTCTTTCTTTGCACCGGCAAAAGCCCAGCAGTCGTGCACGCCACCAAACGATATATTCATCAACACTTTTCCGTTGATGTTTAAGTAGGTCCTCATAAGCATATTATGAAACTCAAGTTTGCATATAATATAGAAGGAATACACAATGTGTTTTAAACCCAAACATGAAAACTCCCGCGAATAAATTGTTGCATGTGCGGACCCACATTCAATGAAACTCCAGCAAACCTCTGCTGAGGTGATCCGTCTGCAAGAGATTTCCTGGCAGTTTGCTGGCAAGCTGCCGCCTGAGAAGCTGGACGAGAGACGGATGCCAAAGATGATGAAAGAATTTAAAGATCCTTTCCAGGAGCAGACAGACAGCACAAAGGCTCTCGTGATGGAGAGTGGGCCGAGACACAGCTGATCATTATGACGTTTCTTTTCTATAAAAGGATTAGGGTTGTGAATTGCTGGGCTAAACTAAGAGCGATGGTAGTTTGGATGTTATGTCTGCATTGCAAGGACAATGTTGCAGCACGTGCTTTGCGGACTTCACGATGCTCCTGTGTCTAAAGCAGACAGAAGAGTAGACTGAAAGTTTAGCTTCGGGTCGGTTTAAGTCTTTCAATAAGAGGTTCCTGTGCCGGGTGTAATATGAGAGTGTATAATAATGTTAGTTAATAATACTGTAGTCATTCGAGGTAGAGATCTTTGAGTACACAGTTCACGTGAGCCCCGCTTCGATGCAGAGCAAGTGTGGTGGGCTCCTCTTTCGCAGAGGGCCCAAAGCATATTCACTGCTGGTACACCTTTTCATCTCAGATACCATCATGGGCATTACTTCGGCTGCCATGTCCGATCTCCTCACCGCCTACGAGTGCCGGATGCCGAAGAACAGCAGCAAGCATGCAAAGATCAGGAAACTGATGACATTGGCCGATGTCAAAGAAGCTCTGGGCGAGCACGGGATCGCGGAAATGGAGGCGAGGCTGCAAGAGATCGAAAAGAATCGTGCATCAAAAAAGAAGGAGAAAGAGCAGGAAACCGAAGATGCTGCAATGCTTGAAGCTGGGCTTAAGAGTAGTTCTGCTTTTGCGACGGCATAGTATAGTCAGACCATCATCTATGATTTATGTTGTCTTTGTTTCAGGATGCGAAGGCCGAAGAGGACGACCCTGCTTTGGCTGCTTGCAACCAGCTCCTCGAGGAGCTGGAGAAGGAGGAAGAGGAAGAGAAAGAGGAAGAGAAAAAAGAAGAAACCGATCCACGGCAGTGTGCAGTTCCGTAATCATTAGGCCTCTTAGTGCTTGGATTTTGTAGGTGCGCAATTAAAGCCGCAAGACTAGAATAGTAACAGGGTTAGTGGTGCAGTGATGCTGATCTGTATACGTGTGCAATTCTTCACAGTAAACAACCGTCCAAAAATAAGGATCAGAAGGAAGAGCCCCGGACAGAGGAAAGCAAGCGGGCTTCGAAGGTTTTGCTCAGCAAGACTGAGACTGTTCCGCGATGGTTGGTGGACAAGTTCCCGATTCCTGACGGCGGATGCATCCACCACACGCAGTTTCGCGACACGTCTTTGCCACTGTTCCAAGCGAAATTGCACCACGGCAAGATCTTCGAAGGGCAGAAACAAAGCTGCAGATTGGAGTTTTTCCTTTTCGTGATTTGTGCTTCGGGTCTCCAGCTCGATTCCGTTAAATAAAAGAACACAGCAGCTCAGGAACAGCATCAGTGCAAGCTACAACCCGACCCTGGACCGGGAACAGCTGAATGAACGCATCACACTTGTGAAGACAATGGCAGCACGGCAACGAAGCATGGCCCAGGCTTACTTTTTCACTTGGAGTTGGCTTTCACGTGCGGTAAAGCCAGCAGAGAAGAAGCGGAAGCGATCGCAGGCATGAAAACGAGAGTGCAGAAGTACACTAAACAAGAACGATCATGCTTGCAGTGGCTTTTGCTGCTTTTCGAAGGGGGATCGAGGACACAGCTTGCGTGTGCGAAAAGAGTCGATGCCCGAAACGGAGACAGCCGAGGCAGCATGCAAACATCTATGGAGCACGACGTATCAGCCAGCATGCGTAGGGTAACCCTTGATTAAAGGATCATGGCACTTAGTAACTAAGATTATAAGTAAGGTAAATATTTTTATACTTACTTATAACCCCTATTAAAGTACTTATAACCTCAGTTAAAGTCCCATGATCCTCCAAGTAACTTAGATCCCTGCAATCTGTGCTCATGCTTTGCTGGACCCTAATCGCGAAGATATCATAGGAATATCCATGATGGTGGGTATTGTCGGAAACTCCGTGAAACGTCCCAACCCTATTCGTCATAATGATGTATTTGCTGCATTTGAGCAGCCTTGCTATGTAAACATGCTTATCTACATCATGGCACTTAGTAACTAAGATTATAAGTAAGGTAAATATTTTTATACTTACTTATAACCCCTATTAGAGTTAATGAGGCAACTGGTCGGGACCAGAGGCTTCCAATCATCAGCACCATGCGCCAGCTTGGAGGGTCAGAAGACTTGGTAAGTAGGTACTACGTAAGTCGAGTGATAAGTGCCCTAAGTGGGATCGTAACTGGGGTAATGGGACTTATAACCCCAAAGACGGCCACTTACCAAGTCCCCCTATCCTGCATTATAGAACCCTTATGCATCCCTTTAAGGAGCCCCACTTCCTACGGCTGATGATCTACAATCTATGGGTGAAGTTATGGTATATACTTTATTATGGGTAATGCAGGATTGATATCATCAACCCTAAACCCTAAAACCTTCGAGATCCCGAAAGGAGCCCCTTAAAGGTACCCTTATAGATCAATAGTCTTTATTAAGGGTAATGCAGGATTTAGATCATGACCCGTACGGTTGATAATACAAATCCTGCATTACCCATAATGAGGAGTATACCGTAGTTCCCATACTTTAGGTTCCTTAAGGTAAGGCAGGATTTTTTTATCATGAACTGTAGTTCACCCGGACCCTCCAATCTTCCAGGCGCCGTATTTGCCAGCGCATGCGCCGAAAGCTTGGAAGCATCCTCAAGTCCACCGAGCTGGATGATGTTGCGTGGTTCTGGAGCAGGGTTTAGTAGGGTTTAGGGATTTATACAGGGTTCTGTCCAAGGGTCCCATAAGGGTTCTTTTAAAGGAATCTATAAGGGCTCTTTTAAAGGAATCTATAAGGGTTCGTTTGAAGGCATCTATCAGGGTTCCGGTAAAGGGTTTAATAGGGTTTAGGGATGCTAGGTTCTGAACGCTGGAGTGCCCTCCTTCATTATTTTGGGGGACTTGTTCCTTAAAGGAACCATTCTGAACAAAATGTCTACACTTTTTTTCTGCGTGGCTACCCCTAAACCCTAAACCCTAAACCCACGCCCAGGTTGTCGAGCGCTACAGGAGTCTGCAAGAGGCGTAGCATGGCGGCACTTCGCGACAGGGTCGATCCCTTGTTTCAGCAACCGCTGAGCTCTCAAAAGTTTCTTTGCTACAAAGCCCTTTATTTATGGAATGTACCGTACATCATAATAGGATCCTTAATCAGATTATGGTATACTCCTCAATCCTTAATTACGGGCTTTGGAGGCTTTGCTCAATCCTAATTAGGGGTTTTGGAGGCTCTGGGTAGGCTACTCAGGTTGGGCAGGAGGTATGCAGTGCGTTGAAATCACAAGGCCCGAACAAACTGACAAAACCCTCAGACCTGAATATCGACCTCAAGCGAGCCCAAACCGCCCGAAGACCCATCCCCGAACTCCAAAACCCACAATCAAAACCCTTGCGAACCCTGAATTGGCCGTAAATACTGAAGTGGATCGAAGAAGATGAAGTTCGAACGAATCTCTGCAACACGTCTTACCTATCAAAGTGCCTTAATGATTAGGTTTTTGCTTGAAGTATATTCTACTATTCTACTACTATATTCAGCAGATTCAGCAGGGGAATACTTTTGGTAGTTTGTAATTTTTCAGACCACTATATTACCTATGGAGTGTTTCGGCTTTTCCTTGCGCAAGTTGAAAGAAACGTCTTATATATATATATATATATATGTATATACATATATATTACACATGATAGCCATTATTGTCATCATTAGTTCTATTGTTTTTTTGAGTGTGTACTTTGGCTGTAAAGTACCTGCATGGGATTGGGAATTCCCTGAAGTCCCAAGCACATACTGGTCAGGTAAATGGACCCTTGGGGCTTAGGAAAAAGCTCCCCAATGGGTCTAGGGTTTAGGGCTTTACTTGGAGGATCATGGGATTTAGTAGTTAATGTTATAAGTACATTAATTGGGGTTATAAGTCAGTATAAGTAGAATCACACTGTATATATATATATATATACCCGTAGTTACTAAGTCCCATGATCCTTGAAGTTTGGATTTAGGGTTTAGGGCTTTCTGGGGGAGGGTTTGGGCTTTGGGCTACTTTCAAGGAGCTGCGTTAAGGGTAGCTCCTTGAAAGTCGTCCTGCGGCTCGGGAGTGCGTCGAGGGTTTAGGGTTGGAGTTTTGGGGTTTTGGGTTCAGGGTTTAGAGGTTTAAGGGTTTAGAGTTTAAGGTTTAGGGGTTTAGGGTTGTCCACGGTTTAGAGTTTAGAGGTTTGGGGTTTAGGGCTTATCAGGCTTTAGGGTTTCGTGCACTTGATTCTGAAATCACTTGGAGACGGTTTAGGACTGTAGGGCTTGTGGGGTGTGGGAGGATTCTCCATTTCAAGGCGTGCATATTCGACGATGCAGAGCTCTTCCGGCGAGAGTGAGATCGAGGAGAGCTCCCGGTGTGCCGCAGCATTCTCCATTGGGTAGTTCTCTAAATTAGAGTCTTTTTTTGTAAACCTAATCTACAGAGCTACACATGTCTCTAACTTCTTGCAAGCACTGCGCATCGAGCTCCTACTTTCGTCATACAGCCTTTTCACAAAAGCAGGTGTCTCAGCTGTGTTTGTTGGTTTGGGGTTGAGGGTTAAGGCATGCTCCTTTGCTTCAAGATTTGGGGAACCGCAACTCAACCGTATAGAAGCCTATCTTTTTGGAGGTTCCTTAGAATGATTCCCTTACATAGTGCTGAAACAGGTAGGTTTTCTGGGGTTAAGGTAAGGCCTAGACTACACCCTCTTCGTCGTCTGGGCGCATATGCCATGATCACGAGAGGGCCTGAAAGCATTGCCCCTGAATAACCTACTTTTTCAGGGTTCCTTATGATGATTTCCTTATATAAGTCCTTAAAAAGGTAGGCTATTCCGGGTTGAGGTAAGCCCTAAACCCCTCAACCCTTAAACCCGAATTCCCAACAGTCTCTTCAGCTCAAAGGCCTCTACGGGCAATTCTGCACAGCTATCGAAATTAGGTTTTCGGCTTTATCTGGCCGGGTATATGGTCACCGTTGGCAACAATGGCTCTGAAAGGGACCCTGAGTTCGAGAACCAGCCAAACTGATAATCCTGTCCGATAGTTTGGCCATTCGCACTTGACTTTTCGACTACACTTCCAGGCATCCTAAATCCCGTAATAAGCCTAACTCCAGGGGATATCCCCAGCTCTCCCTCCCCAATCACCAGAAGTGGTGTTAAAGTGAAGACGGAATCTTTTATCCGCGGCCGATAGTTTCCCGTCATGGAACCCGAGCTGTAAATACTTCTTTGGTCTACAACCGGGATGAAGGACCATTTGAATACAAGACAGGGGCTTCATACGGTTACTTGATACATTCCCTAATGGAAAGTATGGCATCATGAATCCCGTTTAACTGATGATGGACCAGTCCTGGCAGGAGGTATCGCAACCCACTGCAGCAAAGCATCTCAGACAGCATTGCTGTTCGGCTTGCAGGTTTCAGGGTCTAAATAGCTGATATTTGCCCCGTGGCGGGAGCACGACTCGTCAAGTTGATTGTCACAATGAGTTCGGCATGCTGGACTGCGGAAAGAACGTGACTGTCGGATGTATGCACCACGGCAGGAGCCGGGGAACCCAGGGCCACTAGACTTAAATCCAGTTTGCACGATACTGAAGAACAACGTAGTGTTACCACACTTTGTGGGGAGTTTCATACGATTTGTGTGTGTGTGTGAGTGCGCTTGCTAACAGCAAAAAATGTCTGTATTAAACTCTACGCGCACATATATATATATATAGACATAGACATAGACATACCGATATAGGTATAGATATAGACGTCGATACGTGTATATATATATATACATATACATATATGTATACATATATATATATATGGACATGCACACATTCATGCATGCATGCATGCGAGCATACGTGCACACATACATACATTGAGGCATGCATGCATGCCTGCATTGAATAATACGTTGATAGATACATGTATGCATGCATGCATACTTACAAATGTACATACCTATGCATACCTGCATGCATGAAGGCGTGCATTCATGCATCCATGCATGGATGCATGGATGCATGCGTACATAGTTACATACACAAGAAGCTAGCACGGGGATGTAGGTACTACATGCATGCGTACATACATACTTACATATTGACAACATACATACGGAGTTAGACACATACGTACATACCTACATATGTATATGCATCAATACACATAGACACATGCACATAGGTACAATCATGTTTGCCTACACAGCATTTCCGTCTTTCGAGCATCCAAGCCTTTCTCCCTCCTGCACCTGGCCGTTTAGGGTATAGTATAGGGGTTTAGGGGTTCGGGTTTAGAGCTGCTGCCTAGGAGTTTACCACGATACACCCGCCCAGAACCCCCTATTTATGATTATACTATACCTCAGACCCCCATTCTTACTGTTACGGCGCCTATATACCTGTAACTGGAAGTTTCAGACAATAGAGGGGGCCTGAATATAGACTCTACATTACAGGATCCTGAATAGTGGGACAGCCAATAAAGGACCGCTATAAACAGAGTTTCACTTTAAAACAAGTCCTACAAGCGAGCCGAGGTCGATTGAGGTCTTTGTCGCAGTGGAGGAGGTGCCTGTTAAGCGGACGTTTGTACACTTCGACGCGCCTCGGCAAGATAGCGCCATGAAGTTTAATATTCTATGGGGTTGGAGGTTCAGGGTTGAGTACATCACTCAGATAGACCCTGTACTGCAAGTACACAGGTACCTTCCGTTATAACGGCACTTGGCCAAATTCTCATACACAGAGTATGGGATTTATGTACTGCAGAGTTTCGTAAAGTTCTGGTGGATGGCTATCACACGGACTGGCGGCTCCTATGCAAGGAAGGACAGGGCCAACCTTGCATCTGCAAAGAATCCTCCAATTCTCAATTCCATCCAAGAGGGAGCTTGGGGTGTAGGGTTCACGGGCTTAGGGCTTAGTGTTCAGTTTGTAGTCGTGCCGAAGTAATTGAAGCTGCCGTGAGCTGGCGGCAGCATACACGACCACCGCATGTCCTTGGCTCGGACAACCAGATCTTTATCAGGAGCATTATGATGCAGATTTCACTTCTGCTGCTGACGCTGCAACTGCTACGTACTGCTACGTACTGCTACTGCTACTGCTACTGCACTGCTCTGCTGTTGCTGCTGCTGCTGCTGCTACTACTACTACTACTACTGCTACTACTACTACTACTACTACTGCTGCTCCTGCAGCTATTGATACTGCGTCCTGGCGCATGATCTTACAGTGTTCTGCTTCATCCGAGGTGCAGAAACCGCAGGCACGTAGACGCTCCAGGTCGGTGTGAGAATCTGAAGCTCAGAGGGGAGCCGATCTTTGGGGAGCTTGGGGACGCTTGAAATCACATAGCACAAGTTAGGGTAAGGACCCCTAGGTATATGCCCTTAATATATCTATTATATACCCATTATATAGCCCATTATAGCCTTGAGCCCTAAACCGTAAGGCTGAACTCTATAAGCCTCAGTTTGAGTAGGGTGTTTTGCATCCGGGCACTTGCGGGACCTTTGGACAAGTCATTTCCTGTGTCTTTCTTGAGCTCGCCTGCAATTTGAAGTTGTCCAGGTCTGGGCCCGCAGTAGCGAGCGTGGAAGGCACAGCACCGATAAGAAACGGGTGCTGTGCCGCCGGAGCATAAGAGGTCCGAAACCAAAGCCGAGAGACGATATAGACGTCCTAGTTACTGTAACCTCCTGCTTCCAGCCCTAAACTGTTAACACTAGTCCAAAATCCTTAACCCCTTTCTAGAACCGAAGACCGAGTAGTAGCAAAAAGGGTACCGCACGATCAGGAAGCGTTGGAGCCAGCTCGACCCCAAACCGCAAGACCCGAATATCCTACATCCTAAAACCATGAACCTTTCACGGCCCACCAAAAACCCTGAACCACTAGACCCGACGACCACACGCCGAAAGCAATGAAACCCTAAAACCCCCAAACCCCTAAACTTTCCTAAACCCTTTAACCCTAAACCCCTAAACTTTACGCGAAACCTCTAAACCCTAAACCCAGACCCTAAACCTCTAAGCCCTAAACCACTGAACCCTAAAACTCATATTCCGAGAGCCTACCGGACCCGAGCTCTTGCTTGTCGACTGCCGTCCCAAGAGATCCTGGAAGATCCTTGGAAGCCCCGCGCCTTTAGCATAATCGAGAACTACTACTACTACTACTACTACTACTACTACTACTACTACTACTACTACTACTACTACTACTGCTACTGCTACTACTGCTACTACTGCTACTACTGCTACTACTGCTACTACTGCTACTACTGCTACTACTGCTACTACTGCTACGACTGTTACTACTGCTACTACTGCTACTACTGCTGACAGTGCTACTACTGCTACTGCTACTGCTACTGCTACTGCTACTGCTACTGCTACTCCTACTACTACTACTACTACTACTACTACTACTACTACTACTACTACTACTACTACTACTACTGCTACTGCTACTACTGCTACTACTGCTACTACTGCTACTACTGCTACTACTGCTACTACTGCTACTACTGCTACTACTGCTACGACTGTTACTACTGCTACTACTGCTACTACTGCTGACAGTGCTACTACTGCTACTGCTACTGCTACTGCTACTGCTACTGCTACTGCTACTCCTACTACTACTACTACTACTACTACTACTACTACTACTACTACTACTACTACTACTACTACTATCATGAGTGCTCGTTTTAGTAGTATGGTTGTTTTGTTGTTATGATTATTAGTACTACTAGTATTATTGCTACTACTGTGCTGAACAATGACAAATCCAATTCCTTAGGGTTCCTTAATAGAGATACTCGGATGTACCCCGGGACTCTGTTCGGGTTACCCAGGCCTTACATCAGGCAAGTTTTACTAGTCTTTCTCTCGGAGTGTATCGGATGTTTACAGTGGGTTTACAAGGGTCTTAAGTTATATGGGATTCGGCATAGGGGCCTTGAAATGATAAATAGGCTGTCGACGCCCATTTTTCGATAGATGTTATGGGATGCTATTTCCTTCCAGGTCCCTGTAAGAGTCTTCTAGCGAGCATTTGGTACGGTTGAGGCGCCAGGGGTTGGAGGGTTAAGCAAAACCCCAAAACCGCTGAAGCCCCAAAACCCGAAAACCCTAAACCCCTGATCCCCTAAACCTAAACCCTAAAACCCTAATTCTTTTGGGGTTTGCGGTTTCGGGCCGCGGGTTCAGGTTGAGGACTTAAGGTTTGACATGACATGAAACGCCACGAGCGAACCCTCAAGCACACAACCAAGAAACACAGGTGACAGCTCTGCGGTCCGTAAGCCCAAGGCATTGAGTTTGTGACGGTTTAATATCGGAGCTTATTTAACGATTAGAATAGGGTCTTGGGGCCCCTTATACTACAATTACAATAAGGAACCCCCAGAATAGTATATATAGGTAATTTTTTAGGCCCCTATATTAGGGTTCTGGGGATTGTTAGGGTCCAGGGCATCGGGTTTCGGCTTTCGGCTTTAGTGTGATGCAGAACTGAGGGCCTTCGCACACGCACAAGGTCCTATGCGCAAGTGTTGCAACATGGGAGTTTCCGAAATTAGGGGTACCTTATTTTGAGGTTCTTATAAGAAGGACCCTACTATCTTGGGCACTATATTGGGGTCCCCTATTTTCGAAAACTCCCACATTGAACCAGGACTCTACAAGCCTAAACTTGACTTTCCATGCCGACTCCTGTGACATGCTCCTGTTTCCCGGGTCATTTAGGGAATTTGGGATTAGGGTTCTTGTCTTCTGAATTTACCACGGAATCTCAACAATGATCCGGGCGGGCAGCCGCCGTTGTTTTGCATTTACTGTTTGGGATTTGCAGATGTAGACTTTGGAACCTAAACCTAAACCCTATAGTACCCTAAACCCTAAATCTCAAAATCCGCTCAAGAAAACAATCCATAGTACCCGAATCCTAAACCCTAAGCTTGCCTACGTCCCGAGTCCAAACCCAAAGGGTCCTAGTTACTGTTATGCGGGATACCTCGCCAAACCAGAGTAGCAGTTCCAAAAAGCGAGGCTCCACATCTTTACTATAGAAATGAAGAAAAACATGGCCGGCGGGAGTTTCCTGGGTTTCCGCGGAGTTGATCCATCAGCCAAGCTACTGCACCCTGAACCGTAAACGAAGTCTAGATTCTAAACCCACTCAATGCCTGAGCCTCTAAACCCCGAACTATGTATACTAAACTGTAAGCCCTAAACCATTATACTTGACTGTAAGGCCTCAAAGTTTTGACATAAATCGTGACCCTAGGCTGCTAAGGCTGTTGCATTTTGTCTGTAAACACTGTAGTTGCATCTTTACACGATATACTGTCGAGCAAGATCAGGACACCTTTTTCCTGTGTAGCCTCCAGGCTCACGTGGAGTGTCGATAATGTCGATATGTAAGGCCCTTACTAGCACCCTTATGCTAGACTGTTACCGCCCAGGTGCGGCGCCCAAGCTTGGCTTTTGGGCCAGCAGGGTCCAAGTACTCATTAGTAGCAGGGTTTAGGTGCCAAAAACCACTCAGAGTTGGAAGGTTGGACCCAAAACCCTAAGTACTATGTGGGACCCTCTACAAAGCCACATCGGCCAAATGAGCAAACTCTTGACTCCGAAGCCCCACCGCAGTAAATCCTGAACTCCTCCAAACCTCTACAAACCTGAAACCCGAAAGCCCTCAAATCCTAGAAACTCCAAGCTTCCTCTTCTTGGATCTACTCCGAGGTCTTTTCGAAGCTTATTAGCCTCGTTGCCTTTGGGCTTGGCAATACGGCCAGATGGGCCGGGCCAAGCCTTTTGAAGATGTAAACCCGTGGGAGGTAAGCAAGGCCCGAAGGGTCCTAGGTATCCCTACTTAGAGGATCATGGGACTTAGTAAGTAGGTTATAATTGGGGTTATAAGTCCCCTAAGTGGGGTTATCCTAATTATAACCTACTTATAACCTTACTTACTAAGTCCCATAAGCCTTCAAGTAGGGGGGGATACTTTCCCAAAGCACAATGGTGATTCCTGTCCCCAACATAGAAACCCTACATTCTACGATCTAGGTACTTAGGACCCGTTGGAAAGGACAGAGATGGCGGGTTGTGGGACCTGGCACAACTCTTCCGCTCAATGAGGTTATCAAATTGCAGAATTCACAATCTTTCAGTTTTATCAGTGAGGCGGCAAGCATAAATGCGCAAACGGCCGTGCCGTGCTTGCTGAGCCGTGCTACAGCACGTTTTAGCCACTTGAGCCTACACCCTAAACCAGCGAAGCATGTCCATAAGGTGTGCTAATTAGATCCTAGATCCAACGGCTCAGGTAAACCATAAATGACCCTAAACCCCCCCCCAAACCCGCAATTCAAGCCTAAAGCCCCAAAAAAACCCAATTCCAATCTAAACCAGGCTGTTCCGTGGTACACTTTTTTACTTTCAGGTTTCTGGGTTCCTATTGTAAAATAAGACGCCTAACAAAGTATATACTTTTTCCCAGTGGGTTACTGAACAGCCTAGTAAACCCCCTAAACCGCAAATCAAGAAGATAAACCAGCGAGGCAGGCCAAAGCTTCCATCGATGTCCCGACGTGCCATTCCTAAACAGAGCTCAAAGCGTGCAAGAACCCCAAAAAGCCTGTAAAGCCTCATGTATATTAGAATCTGAGTAAGAAACCCTGGGCCTATAACCCCAAACTAGTAGGATTCATATAAGGAACCCTAATAAAGGCCCAGGGTTTCTTCATCGGGTTCCTACACTACAGTGGGTCTAGAACTATTGACCAGTAAAGGGACTCTAAAGCCTGACCCCGGTTCATAGCTTCCTGGAAGGCCAGCGTTGGGATCTCAACGTTTAGGTCTCAGGGTTTAGGGCTCAGGGTTTAGGGTTTAGGGTTAGGGTTTAGAGTGTACCCCAAGGGTCCAAGTAGGCCTTACTTATGGTGTGGTACCCAAAAAGGCTTCAAAGTCCTTTCATGATGAGTACTTGGACCCTTAGGGGTAGGTTAAGGGCTGTAGAAAGGGTTTAGTTGCGGCCCTGGGTTCGCATGTATGCTGCGCGAAGCAGAGGTACTAGGAATTCGCTGAGAAACATAAGCGCATGAGAAACTCCCTCATAAACACCCAACCTCAATCCCTAAATCGTGTATGGCTGCCGCAGCTTTCCTCGGAGACGTCTCTCGGGCAAAAGCCTCGAGAGTGGATGGATTTCTCTGAAGAGCAACCAAATACCAAGATCTTAGCATCTAGAGGGGCAGGAGATGGCCAATTGTACTTACGGAAC